GACCATAGCTGAAGCGAGGCGACGAAAAGTCGACATCATCATTGGATCGGATGCGAACTCGAGGCACTCGTGCTGGGGAAGCTCAGACATCAATGCGAGAGGTGAGTCGCTTTTTGATTTTATTCTAATTGAGGACTTAGGTATTTATAATAGAGGTAACGAACGGACCTTTATTACTGCGGCCAGGCAAGAGGTCCTCGACCTTACCCTTGCCTCGTCTTATTTATCATCCCGTATTTCCGATTGGAGGGTTCTTCAGGATCACTCCTTCTCGGACCAAGATATATTCAGTTTTATCTGGACGAAGATCGTCCTAAAATTATCCCCTATAGAAATTTTAGGAGAACAAATTGGGACCTCTACAGCCAAAAATTGCGGGAACTACTCCCAGAGCCCCTCCGGTAAACTTAAGCACTGAAATCTCGATTGAGGACTCGGTAGAGAAATTTACATCAGCGTGTAGGTGTGCCATTGAAAGCTCATGCCCGCTGAGCAGGCCCTCAGGCAAAGTCCGACCGAAATGGTGGACGATGGAACTCTCAGAGTTTAGGGCGTCGAGCAGGCGCCTTTTCAACAAAGCCAGGAAGAGTGGACAACACTCCGACTGGGAACTCTACAAGGTCGGACTGGGTATATATAAGTCCGAGATTTCGAGATAAGAAAGGCCAAAACTGAGTCGTGGAGAAATTTCTGCGAAGTAGTAGAATGTTGTCACGAATCGTCTCGATTTAGGCGAATCCTTGCGGGGAGTCCTGTACCTCTGGGATACTTGAGGGACGAAGAGGGAAACTGGGCCATGAGCAGAGGGGAGTCGCTTAAGCTACTCCTTGACACTGATTTCCCAGCAAACCCCACACCGTGTGAGCTTACCGGTGTCGGTACGGTTTGCTGCCCAACTTTCTCCGGTGAACTACTGGAGAAACGCCGACTGCTTTGGGCGATTAACTCTTTCAAGCCCTTCAAGTCCCCCGGACCGGATGGCATTATTCCTGCGCAGCTGCAAAAGGCTGTCGAGGTCTCGTGTCGCTGGCTCACCCCAATCTATGCGAGCTGGCTAGAAAGGGGGTACATCCCGAGGGCCTGGAGGAGGGTGAGGGTCACCTTTATCCCCAAACCAGGAAAAAGCTCTCATGTGTCTCCGAGGGATTGGCCTGAAATCAGTCTCTCCTCCTTCTTAGAAGCAGGATTCCTCGAGAGCGATTGAGCCTCTCCCAGCATTCGTATCTAAAAGGCAGATCCGTGGAGTCTGCCTTGCACTCAATTGTTAAAGTCATAGAGGAGTCTCTTATGAATAAATATTTTGTAGTTGGGGCCTTCCTTGAAATCGCGGAGCTATCGGGCATAGTAACCATGGGCGCGTCTAGGTCAGCTTCTGGTTGAATTGTTCAACAACAAGCCAGAACTACTCCTATGCTTGAAGAACTGGTTCTCAATCCAGTTAATGCAATAACAGCTTCTTCCAAGCCATTGAAGACATGCTTTTTGTTAGGTTACTAAGTTGAATTCTCCTTTCTGTGTTTCCGGAGAAAAAGGGCTTCCGCGTGTCAAAGGTATACAACACTTCTTATGCACATCACTCCGGCTACGCCATCCACAGTATTTTTGCGCAGAACCCACGTCAAAATTCGCAAAAAAGTGCATAGTGCAAACCAAATTTATTAATATGATAGTGCTCGGAAATTTGAAACATTTATTTTAAATAAAATTTTAATCCTTTGATTACACGTGATGTTAAAGTTTTTGGATTCGGATTATGCGTTTGGACACAACAACCGAAAATCATTGTACAAATAACTTAACCGGACCCAAGTTTCTCGATAAGGGGCAACAAAGATTCGGTTTTTCTCGTTTATATAAAGCAGTGGATAAAAATATACGTATATGCGAAGGGAAAATTTATCTGTTTAAATGAACACCACTAATATTTCCTGCAAATAAACATCGATTTACGCCTTTTATCTCGCCTCCGACACAGAATCGTTTTCGTAGGCATGTCATTGTTACGAATTTCGAAAGTTCGAAAATACGGTTCGGATTGCAGCATACTATTTCTACGATTCGTAGCAAAATCCGAATACGAAAGAGTTGCAGAATAGGGGTGATACATTAAACGACGTAACACAGAGTTACGGATGAATAGTAGTTACGGAAAACCAATAATTTAATTAATAAACAAAGA